CCACAGGATAAGTGACACGGTTTGGCGGAGGTGACAGGGGTTCGATGTGCTGGCAGGGTAGGTGACAGGGTTTGGCAGAGGTGGCAGGGTTTGATGGGGTGGCAGGGTAGGTGACAGTTTGACAGAGGTGACAGGGTTCAATGGGGTGGTGGGGTAGGTGACACAGTTTGACAGAGGTGACAGGGTTCGATGGGGTGGTGGGGTAGGTGACAGGGTTTGATGGGGTGGCAGGGTGGGTGACAGTTTGGCAGAGGTGACAGTTTGGGAGGAGTTACAGGACAGGTGGCAGGGTTTGACAGGAGTGACAGGGTTTGGTGGGGGTGACAGGGTTTGTCAGATAAATAACAGGATGATCCCTGGCAGATCAGGATGTGGAGGGGTGGTTGAGGATCCCTGGCTTCACCTGGCCTCAGTGAATCCACTGAATGGTGTTTTGCTTTAATTTTTTTGTTATGTCAAATTCCTTTGTGTGTAGGAGAGAGTTAGAAACAGCATAGAGACAAAATGTTTGACAGATAAAAGAAAAATTGCTAGCAAACAATACAGTTAGTCTTAGACTTTTATTCTTCTTTTAAAGCACTGAAGATAAGATTGTAGTTGTCCTTGTGTAGCCAGTAAGTTTCCTATAAAGTACAATATTGTTTCCTATAAAGTACAATAACAGTGAAAACATTTATAATTTAAATGATTGTTTAAACTACAGATCAGTAATGTACTCTGAGAATATCAACTAGCTTTTTGAAAAGAATACGATTAATCTTAAAAAGCTTTTCTCTCAAGATGATTTTAAAATTCAGTGACAAGAGACAGTTAAATGTAACTGGAAGACCTGGCATAGCTTGCATTGATTTCCATCTATCTGCATCAATTTTGGAGTATTTTCTGCAAGTTTGAGCTAAGTAGTTGGTCTAGATTTGCAGGTCTTTATTCAAGCATGACTGCATTAGCCACTTCGTATCTTCAAGAGAAAAAAATTAATCTTAAATTTGTATTAATTTTTTAGATACAACTGGTTTTATGTACTACAGTATATGGTGACAATTTGGCTCCTTCAGGATGAATTGTCAGAAAAGTTCATTTACCCAGTGGCCAAAATGTAGGTGTCATATGATACATATGTACTTAGCATGCAACTGAAGTGTGTGCCCTTGTATGCACGTGCGTACACGCATGAGACTGCTTGCCCATTCACATGACTCAATAGACAGCCATTACAGGAGAGGGAACAGGCACGCGGTAGGTGCACATATAGCCCGCCAGAAGGTTCGGAAAGTCTATTTGACTCACCCTAGCCAAAGGTAGGGTGCTATTTTGCACTGAGGAGGTGCTGGTTCATTTGGGATCTCAGTAAGAAAGGTGTGGGCTCTCAAGGCTGGTTAACTGATGTACTGTGTAAAGAATAGTAGTAGTAAAAAACGTAATAGCAGTTTTTTGTCCCTTCTGATCACAGCACGAGACAAGCCCCTTCACATTGATCAGCACACTGCACAGATCCTGTCTGTGGCGAGGTTCACACTTGTGGTCTTTAGAGCTTTGATAAGATTTTTTTTTTAAGAACTTAACAGCTACTCTTCATTTCTGCAGTCAAGTAAAGGGAGGTTACATGTAGTGCTGTTTTATCTCAAGATAAAGAATGTGGGTGGCGTAATCTACTTGTACCTATACTGAGTCGGAGCCGTGTACAGGCTTCTCTGTTACAGTCAGCCGAGTTCATCCAGCAGTCACTGGGGTTTGGTGAAGGCACTGCATTCTTGCACATCTCCAGAAGAACAAGTCAAATGTGTTCGTGGTGTGTGCTCGGGTTAGGTAATGGTTACTCATGCTGACATACCAGGTCTCTGCAACCAAGGCCTGTGGTTAAACTCTGCCCAGATTCTGCTTGAAATCACTGTCTCCTCATTGCAGTGACCTGCTACAGGTGCACTTATTGCACGGTGCTGACTTTAGTGGGCTTTTCAGTGTACTTCCACACTGGAAATCTTGCTTCTTTCCTCGCTTAAATCTGTGCTACACTTCAGATTATCGAGCCTTCGTATTTTGACCTCTCTAGAGTTTTTAGTTGGTATGAGTTTAATTTGCTGTGATTTGGCAGCATCCTGGTGCCAGAAAAGGGTCTGTTGCAAAAAAAGTAGTCTATAGGGACTCGAGAGTTGTGGCTATATGCTAAATCTGATTTGGTTTAACTCTAGGCTGCTGCTGCCCCCTGCCCTCAGCCACTTGTTTTGGCAATATGTTTATGTGACCTCACAGTTTTAGTTAAGGGGATTTTCATTCAGATCAGATACCGAACAGCTCACACTGCCACTGTGAATTTCAGAGCCAGCATGAGGAAGGCACAGTAAAAAGTGATTAGGGAGACAAGGGAGGCATGGATACTAGCCTTTTCAACATCTCTTCAGACTTTATATTTGATTAGAGGGTTGTGTAATGACAGCTGGACTGCTAATATAAATTAATTACAAGGGTTCTGTCTTGCTAATAACTTTTCTCTTTTTGCAGAGCTGAAACAGTACCCATACTTTTTTGTTGTACATAATTAATCTGTTGAAATGATATTTAAGAAGTTAAATATCATGTTAAGAAGTGTATTGCACTACATGCTTATGTTCTCATGATTAACCTTAGATCTTGGACCTAGTAATTTCTCTTTACATCTACTATAGCGCTTGATACCATAAAAAATTTTTACTTTTGATTGGTTACTAGTATTTTTTATACTACTTTATTAGTACTGTTGCAGCTGTTTTCTATATTAATATGACAATATAATTATTATACCGGTAAGACAAATGCTTGGAACTAATAATTACACAACTTTTTAACAAATGAGTGTAATTTTAGTGTATTTTTTCTTATCTTACACCAATCAGGTGATGGTCATCTGTTTATGCCAGGTTGCACTTTAAGGTTCTTTCTTATGCTGACCCTTAGGGTTATTGTTTAACTAGCAGAACTCACAGCAGAAATTAAAAACTGAAACAAATCTATTAGTGTGTGGAGTAGTCCTTTTAATAAGGTCATTATTTTTAAGATCTCCAAACCTAACAGAAAGTGCATGTGTTTCTGCTGCTTGATGGTACGCATCATATGGGCAATATTTAGAAACATTTTATTTTTTTTTTTCCCCTCAATTTATGTCTTATATTAGCTTCTGTTTCCTGAAGTTATTGTTCCCAAGATGAGAAATGACCAACTTACACTCCTGGCTGATGGAGTTTCAAGGCCAGCATGTTGAGGTACACCAAACCATATCTGGTTTACGTAATTATGCTTGGTTGAAAACTGACAGTGTAGGAGTTGCAGGGCTGCCAAATGGACTGGATGCCTGGCAGCAGCAACGCTTGCTGGAGAAGGGTGGAGAAGGCAGCTGGGGCAGGTAACAGCTTTAGCTGTCATAATTTTAGGAGGCTGCCGTTACAAGTCTCTCAGAGCCCTGGCAGGTGTTTTAAGCTGACTTGTTCATGCCCAGTCATGAGCTCAGAAACAAGAGAGTTTCTACCATCAAAAATGAGACTCTTAGAGCAACACAAATGAAAGATCAAATTTAAAGGGGTTTTGATTAAGACTGTCACTACATGATAAAGGAGTGTGCTGCACATGGAAGTCATCACAAGAGTGTGTAGTTAGGTATTACTTAGGTTTGATTGTTCCATGAGTCGTTGATAGATAGCTCCTGCATAACAAATATCATTAACGGGGGGCAAGCCTATTGCAGACCAGTGCGTTACCTAACCTGACAGTGTCTTGGAAAACTGTGGTCTTACCTCTGCATGAAAAAAAACTGAGGACAGAAGTAGAGCATCAGTTTCAAAACAGAGCTTCCTTTTATGGTCTTACTATGAATATAAATTATCCAGCCCTAAAGAATACGTGAAGATGCATCTATTTTGTTATTTGCCGTTAAACCTATATCAGTATCTGTTCTTCTGGTTTGTTTCTTCTTCTGATGTGTCCCGCTTTTAGCTTTTGTTCTACTATTCTATTTCATGTGGCATAACTTCGTATAAGCTGCACCTTGATGGAAGGTAGAGTATTTGTAGAATAATCAGTCATAAAGGTCCAATTTCTGTTTTATGTATTGGAAATAGACACATTTGTCCTGTCATGAAGCTGAAGGTTAAAGATCATAGGCCTTCTCTGTTCTGCACCTCTTGATACATTTGGAACAGTGAGTGTCCATTCGACACTTTGTAGACAACTCTGGACTATAAACAGCTGGTTTAGTAAGTCTGATAAGGCGGAGCAGGGAAAAAGCAGTTGGGGGTTTTCCAAGAAGAAATGGTCTTTTATCAGGTTATTACAGGAATGAAGCACTACTCAGTTTTCCCTGTTCATGAAAAACAGGGTTCATGGTTTCTTTCATTAAGTTAGACTGGGACAAAAACTGTCTGCCACGTGAATGCATTTAACTCTTTACCTACTAATCTTAGTTATTGCTGTGTGTATCTAGATCACATGAAAGTCTAGATGCCAACTACAGTACAGAGAGCTACTGTGCAGTTACTGTAGCTGCTCTGAGTTTACTAGTAGGATGAGTCAATGGGAAAATGTTGGTTCTACAAAAGCAAAATGTCTTATATTCAACATTTTGGATAGGATTTAAAAAGAAAAGTTAGCCTAGGGAATCTCACTCAGGTACCTATGATCAACAGATAACAGAACCCCCAATTCAAAGCATGCCATCGCTTGTGTGGGCTCATGTTAGGTTTCTAAGCAAGAGGGGACAGTGGGGAGTTACCCTTCCTCCTCCATTTTAACTCCTTCCATTTTAGTTTAATACTTTTTAAAGTCTTGGCATTTCCTAGACAACAAAATGTTACCTTTTCAGTTATCTCTGGATGGTGATTAGCTTCACTCTATTTCATGTTCCTCATTTTACCTAGGAACTTTGGTTTTTTGGTAGTAAAATCTCCCTTCACAGAACTGCAATTCCTTAAGGACCAGCAGTTGTCTTCCAAAATGTTACCTTTTCAGTTATCTCTGGATGTTGGCTAGCTTCACGCTATTTCATGTTCCTCATTTTACCTAGGGACTTTGGTTTTTTGGTAATAAAATCTCCCTTCACAGAGCTGCAATTCCTTAAGGACCAGCAGTTGTCTTTTAGCATATTAGCGAGCGGTGATTGCTCTGAAGGTCAGTATGCTCAGAAGCTATTCATAAATTCTTCCTGGAGTTGCCTCTGGTGTTTCGGTAAATCTGTGATTGCAATGTAAAGTTGCAGAGGTTAAAACATTAACATTTTATGTGTTCTGTGATACATTTAAGTGCCTTAGAAATCTTTAAAAAAAAAAAAAAAAAAAGGATTTCGTTATTGGTGTCCCTCTATAGTACTCAGTATTGCATAAGTGAATACTCTTCTGTATGTTTGACCTTGAAAAGCATTGTTTCAAGTGTTCCACCTGGGTGCTGTTCCACACATATCTGGATAATACTGATCTCTCTGGTTTATTTTGCTTAAGTAAAGTTCTTAATGTTTTCTCCCAAAAAGCTCTGTTCCATCTGGTGGAAACTTATAAATTCCACAAGTTGTTTTTTTATTTTTTTTTTTTTTTTTTTTTTTTTTTGCATTCACACAAATAAAATTCTAGGATTTCAAATCCTGGCTTAAAGCATCATCCAGCATTCTGTAATTCTAGTAGGCCTGTTAATATTTTTTTATTTATTTCTGCTTCCTTTCTTTTCAGATGAATACTGAAGCCCTGTTTTTCTTTGAGATTTGTTTGCAACTTCTCATGCAGCAGTATCTCATGATGGAAACTTTGTATAAGTCAACTCTGAGTGTCGGGCCAAGTGAACAAATTGCTAGGAACAGGGAAGCACTCTTGACCCTAATGCAAAAGGTGCCCGGAGATCAGGGTGTTACTGATACTTAGAATTTTGGTAATTAAAATTTAATCAATAGTTTGTAGTTAATATAATTTGTGATTAATTTTAATAATATAGAGCTATAAGAAACATTTTAATGAAAAGTAAGCTCGTACAGTAACCAGATGCTGCTATGAAATTCCCTGTATAGCCCTGTACCAGGATCAAAGGGATAGGTCAGAATCATTTAATAGAAACATGTAGTACAAGTCGATTTGTAAACTGATTTATGATACTTACATAGAACTAGAAGAATGCATGTAGCTATCAAGGTCTGGATTAATGAGAACGAAGAGAGCCAACTGTAACAGTTTATGGGTACCTGCCAGAAACCGTGAACTTAAGCAAAAGGTAATTCCGGCAGGGGGAGATCGCGACCACCGACTCACAGACCACCTACCCATATTACACCCCAGACTCATTTCTAGATGATTCTAACTTTTATTGTGCAGAATCAGGAATGGGAGGAGAATATGCTAATGATTTTCAGGAAATATGTTTATGTATGATTACCTAATGGATTTGCATGCGTAAGCTCTATATAAGAAGTTTAATTTTGGTGCAAGGTGTGCATGCTAGGAGGAGATATCCCCCGTGCACCTGGTGCCGCAATAAAGAAGTGTCTGCTTATCTACATCCCATTGGTGTTGATAAGTTTCTTATTCCGAATTTTCGGTAACAAGGGTGTTTATGATGTGTAGAAAACGCAGTGTATGTTGGCATTATTGTTAGTTCAAAATCTCTAGCCTCGAGTGTATGATAATCAGACTATTACTTCAGGCTGATAAATCATTCTGATGAGTAAGCACGTGGGAGGAAGGAGGCCTAAATACTGCTATTAAAAAAGGAATGGCTATACTGAGTCAGACCAATCAATGTTTCTGATTGTGATAGTATTTCAACCACCTGTGTGAGAACCTTCCTTCTCATCCCAGGGCAGCTTAATTTCTTGAACCCAAGCGGGTTCACTTTCCCCTATATATTATATTTTCCATGTGTCCACTTGTTATTTTATTTGCCTAACTACTTTGTAAGACCGTGAGCTTGTTGACCTGAGATTTTCTGGACCCCGCTGAGACAGAAGAATTTCTTCCTCAAGTGACAATCCTCTGTGTTTAAGAGTTAAAAAGACTGAGCATGGAGTAACACAGTACAATTCATACTAAAAGAGTACTGTAAACTAGACAGTGAACAAAATACTACATCTGAAAGTATCTCCTTAATGTTTTTAACTGAGGTGAAAGAGAGGCGTCCCTTCGATGGAACTAGCTGTCCTAACTAAATATTTTACTGCCTACTGAGTGGAGGCTTAGTTGGTGAAAAGGCTTTTCTTAGAATTTGTGCATGTACTACCAGCAAACTCATTTTGTGAGCTGGGTTGGTGATTGCAGTGAAAGAAGCTAATTTTTGCCTACAGTTGGTTGGGGAACACGTGCACAGAAGGATCAGCTGATTGACCCCAAAGGGCAACAACTGAATTGGTGGTAGCATGGAACAGCTGGAACTAGAAGATTTGAAGGCAGCATAGTTGGATGCAGACGATGACATCTTATGGCTTGATTGTTCTAGTGCTAATATGTAATGCCTATTTTTGACTGTACTGTAACTTTCCTTTGTTTCAGATGCCTTCAGTGTTTGACAAAGAACCTTTCCAGATACACTGCAGATATTAAGTCATTGCCACCCAACATAAAGGATAAACTGATTAAGTTAATGAGTAGGCAAGGGCAAATAACTGATTCAAATATCAGTGAGGTAAGAACCCATTCGAAACTATAGTGTCTGTGATAGTTAATACACAAGGATGAACTGACCTAAAACTGTTCATGTGAGACAACAGATAAGTTCAGACGTGCTTACTCTGTCCGTGTCTTTACGGGTTTTTTTTCTTAAACTTCATAATGTTAGTAGTCCTGTATTAGTAGTATAAGATTATGTTTGTAGTGACAAGTAAATGAAAAACATTTTCCCTTCAGTGATAACTGATGTCTGTGTAATCGGCTGACATACATTATCCCTTTTTGGTATGGGAGACTAGACTCTGTTCCTGAATGTAGTATGTTTCAAGAAGCTTGTGCATAATTCAGAAATGTAAAGATTTCACAAACTTGTTAGATTTCTGTTATGTTCTATTGACATTATGCACATGCTCTCCATATAATTTATTTAAATCTTGATTCTTTGAAATACAGTGATGCTAGGGATAGAAATGGATAGTTCAAATTCTCTCATCCCTTTTGCTCACTAATGTGTGTCAGTGTTTCAAAATGAAACTGTGGGTTGTTTTTTTTTTTTTTTTACTTTAGCTGTAAATTCAAGGGCACATCTATTTTGGTATCTATCTACTGTTATTTGTTTAGCCTCAAAGGGAGGCGTGAGAATTGAGGAAAGCTAAAGGTTGGCCTTGGTGAAACAGTAAATGAACGAACTCGCTGTTCATTCCTGCATTGACCTGTAACTTGGAAGAGGCAAATAGTATCAGTTTCTCAGAATCAGAACAGTGAAGCCAAGACTAGAGGCAGAATCAGAAGTATTGTGGAAAACATATGAACAAAAATTTTATCTTTACTGTGCACCATTTTTTGATTGTAAAAAAAAAATAAATCTTTGAGTAAAAATCAGAGTCTTATTCATTCATCTTATTTTGGAAAATTTGAGTTGACAAAATTTGATTCAGACCATCTTTTCAGTAAGTAATCTTTTCTAAGTGCCCTAAGAGATGTTTGTAATTAAAATGATACGATTGTGTATGTATAAATGCACAAAACCTATTAGGATATTTTTAGTCTGGAAACAAACTAGAGAGTTGAAGTTACTATCTTTTCCTCTGTCTCCTTGTAAAATCTCATTTGTCTTTGTCTATATGAGCAGCAGATCAGTGCCTTCTCTTGGAGCCTGTTTTCCATCTGACACTGTGAAATTTTGTTCTGGTTCTCTTTCTCATGTGTTTTTCCTTTCCTTGTTCCTGCAATTTCCTGCAATTCTATCCGTAGTTGTCATCACTTTTCTTGGGCACGTTATACCCTAGCTTTCTTTGCCAACAGTTTCCAGGTTTATCTCATTTCCATTTTTTAAAAAATGCTAGCCATCTCTTGGATTCTGAATTCATACTCTTTCTCCATACCATTTCACTCTTCAGTTTTCCTATTCTTTCATCTTGCAGATAGTGTTGTTGCTCAGCATAGCAAAAATGGCTTGTGTTGTTTATATCTTCTTACTATATCATGCTTGCATCATGTATAACCAAAGTATTCTACATGTGGCACATGTGCAACATTTCAGTTAGTCTTCCATAAGGATAAGGAATTTTTTTCCTTTGTGATTGCCTCCCTCCTGCCCTTTTCTTTCACAGTCTCCACAGTACTGTAGCTGGATATATTCTGTTGGAATTTTCCAGGCTATGCTGTCTCATTTGCTTTTATGCGTGTCCGTCCTTTGGTATTGTTTAAGTATTTTCCTTAAAGTTAAATTTCTTCCAGTTGAAATTCTGTTAAACTGCACTGATACACAAGCTTTTATTTCATAGAATCATAGAACGATTAGGGTTGGAAGGGACCTCAAAGATCATCTAGTTCCAACCCCCCTGCCATGGGCAGGGAAACTCTCCACTACACCAGGTTGCCCAAAGCCTCATCCAGCCTGGCCTTGAACACCTCCAGGGATGAGGCGTCTCCAACTTCTCTGGGCAACCTGTTCCAGTGCCTCACCACCCTCTGAGTGAAAAATTTCTTCCTTATATCCGATCTAAATCTGCCCTCTTTCAGTTTAAAGCCATTGCCCCTTGTCCTATCACTACATGCCCTTGTAAAAAGTCCCTCTCCAGCTTTCCTGTAGGCCCCCTTTAGGTACTGGAAGGCTGCTGTAAGATCACCCCGGAGCCTTCTCTTCTCCAGGCTGCACAGCCCCAACTGTCTCAGCCTGTCATTTCATCTCTTCCCTCTCTGTTCTTGCCCAGATTTGTGTTATCATGCTTTTTTTCCCCCCCCCTTACTCTGCTTTTCGTTTGAAGCAGCCTTCCATGACACACGTGCTAAACTCCTTATTCCAACTCACTTTTACTGCAAAGATCTATAAAGCATATGTCCACAGTATATAAGTCTATACTTCAATCTCCTGTACTTTGCATCCAAACAATCCTTACTCTGCCTGAAATTCTGTCTTCTTTGGGACAGATGCATTCAGTGAATATGAATCTGTGAATAACAACAGAAGAAGAATCATGAGCTAGGGAAGCTTAATACTCTAGCTACTTTAAATAGGCAGTGTTCTGGTAGTACTGTTGCTTCTCATTTAGAATTCCTTGCTTCTAATAGTTCTTTTTCTCATAAGATTCGCCATATGGCTTCAAAACCAGCAGTTTGCTCATTTTTGTTATGTTGTAGGCGATTTGGAATAGTGAAGGAAAGCCAACAGTCAGGGAAAGAATCTTGAATAAACGTTGATGGTCACTTTGGCTTTAAGCATGTTATCTCTGGATTTGGCTCTTCTAGTTCCTTAGATATTTCACTCATATTTCTGAATTCATAAGAGCTGAATGTTATCTTGTGAAAACTACTCACAAGCATATTGTAGCATGTGTTGGTGGTTTTGTGACATAAAGGGACATATTCGAAGCTTTTAACATTTGGGGAAAAAAGCTGTCAAAGCTGTCTGAGGTCTGCCATTCATTTTTCAGAAAGGTTGCAATTATAATCTGCTAGAAGTTTTTGGTTTGTGTTTTGTTTTTTTTCCGATTGGCTTATCTGACTTTGTCAGTAAAGCTTTTAGTGTCTTATATATTTGCAAAACTGAAAAACATAATCTTGTAATCCTTGTAATATCTTTATTGTACCTGTTAGAATGGTGAAGCTGAGAAAGGAATAGGCCTTTAACAAGCCTGTCAGTTCTGCTGTTATCTTTGCTTGTGTATGGAAATTTACTGTATGCTTTTATCCTTGGGAGTTAAGGAAGGGAGTGGAATGCTGAAGGGAGTAGTATAAGGTAATGTGGAAACCTGATCGAATGCTTTCCTGTTGGTTTGAAGAACAGCTCAGCGAAGGTATAGATTGTTTGTGCAAGATGGGGCTACAAGCAGTGTTTATTAAAAGTAGTGAGAATCCTTGAAAATTAAATTAGAGGTAAGATATATGGCTATCATTACTAAAATCTGAGGCCTTCCGTTGCTTCAGGTCTAAATTTCATCAATGCCCTCTTGGGGGAGATTTCACAAAAACTCCAAACCTATGGTCTTGTGCTAGTAAATGTACCATCAAAATAGCACTTCCACTGTGTAAATAGTAGTGTTGATGTGCTCCCACTGTAGATGTGATCACGGAAACTGAGCGTTCGTGCGGTACGAGATGAACTGTTGTTGCAACAAATATAGTATATTTTTTTAATGAAGTTTTTAGTTCCTAAGACTGGGCCCATTCTCTAGTGAATATTTTTTAAAGTTTTATGTGATGTCTAATGTTACAAGTATTTTAGATAAAAATATGCATGTTCTATGACATAGCAGAGTTTGACTGAAATGGTAGGTTTTCATTACAGGTATTGCACCCTGCTGTAGAGTCTCTAGACCTCCGAGACTGTGATATTTCAGATAATGCCTTATTGCAGCTTTATAACTGCAAGCAATTGAAAAAAATCAACTTAAATTCTTGCAAAGAAAACAGATTGGGAATCACTTCAGAAGGTATGTTATCTGTGCACAGATAACTGGGATCTTATTTCTGTTTTGTTTTTCTTGTTAGATTGAAGTAAATTGCAAAAAATGTCTAGGGTAAACATTGCTTAAAAAAATCCCTGATGCCACACCAATACTAATTAAAAGTCACTTCAGTGGTGTAAATTATAGGCCTAGAGAACTGATTATCTTAAGAAAGAGAGCTATCGGGTTACTCTCATACTAGGTTTCTGGTAAAACTGTGCTACCTTTGATTCTATTTTCCACTTCATCTTAATTATTTCTTCCTCAAAACTTGTTCCAGAACCTTAACGGTGCCACTGGGGTTGAAGTTTCAGGCTTGCGATTTCCTAAATTACTTTTTTCCCCTTTTTTAATTAAAGGTATTTGTTATTAAATAAGCTTATAGCATCTTCTCTGACTTAAAAGACTTAACTTGCTTTAGGATTTTAGGGTATCAGGTATTACTTTTAACCTCTAGTTTCAAGCTGTGTCAGAAGCTATTAGCTTAAAAGAATTAAGCTTGCTGAGTTTTATTTCCCACAAGTTTTGTTTTGTCTTTTCATTACACTGACTCTTTTGTTCCATCATTAACTCACCCTTATTGAAAATTGAAGCAAAATATTAATTTTGTATTGAGCTAATATATACTATACTTCAGATCAATCTTATTTTGTATTTTCTTACTGCTTCATAACAATACGCTTATCTTTTTACTTAAGTAATTGGTTAAACTTTTAAAAATTGATTTTATTTATTTTCAGTGTCACCTCATTGTTATACTTTTTGACGCCTAAGATATAGTTTGCAATGGTCTTCCCTCCATGCCTTCATATGTTCACTGATTTCTAGTGTGGTTCCTATGGTACCAGCTAAGCCTGGAGCTCTTAATGTGTACTTTTCATCTGGATAGAGATTCCTGATTACTTTGCAATTAAAACTGGGAAGTCTAGTTCTTTATTGGCAACTTCCTAGTCCATCCAACTTTACTAACTTTCCTGCTCATAAACTGATCCCTTTTCAAACTGAGAATCAGTTATGAAGCCTGTAATTTAAGCTGGAACAGTTCTTTATCACTCGTCTCAGTTACAGAAAAAAAAGACCCGAAACCACCCCAATTTAAAGCAGTGTTACCTTTTATTAATTCGGTAACAGGTTGGGGATTTTTGGTTGGTTTGCTTGGGATTTTTTGTTTAATGTTGTTTCTTCTTGTTGTTGTTTTCTTTGTTAAGAAACCTGCTGGCTGCCACATCCAGAAATATCTGAGCCCTCTCGTTACTAGGAAACATTTGCTCTGTAGGTGGCATGTGGAATGTTTAGTGCTGTTTAAAACAATATCCAGTAGTACTTACTTCTGTGTCAAATTCAACTACCACTGCTTTCTCTTCTGTCATTCTTTGCAAAGTGGTTGTGACCCAAACAAGTACTATTTCGTCCATGTTTCTTTGAAGTTCTTACATAGTAACATATCTTAATGACATTCGACTTTTTATTTCGATCTCTCTAGAAGTCATGTAAATTTTCTGTACAGCTGGAATCACCATGTTTCCATCATCCTTGAAATAAAATTAATTTCATGAATTGCATCTGTAGCTCATGATAGTTTTATTTTATTGACTACCTCTTGACACTTCCTTGCAAATACTTTGGTTATTACTAACTGTCAGGGCTCTGAGGGCACCAACAGGCCCTAAGGGCCACGAGTGGTCTCAACTGCCATGCCCACCTACATCAGCTGTCCATGGACCTACAGTCCTGGCCTGAGCTGTGTTGTAGGTGTACCTGGTTCCTGTATTGCTTCTGAACTGTTGTTTTGAATTCTTGAATTGGCCTTGGACATGACCTCTTACTTTGCTTTTCGCCTGATATTCACTGCACCGTCAGTGGGACCTAGCACTATCATCAGTCTGCTTTCAAGCCATTGGCTTTTTTGTCATACACTTACTGAGGTGATACCTCATGTATGTAATATCCCTCAGGTATCCCTCTGCAGTATGGAGGGGAATTCAGCATTTACAAATTTGTATCAACTCTAGCATTGTTCATTGTCATTTTCCTTTTCTCATCCTTGAATTAAAAGCAACCAGCCACAAAATTATTTCCTTGTACAGAGTCGTGCTAGCATGGCATGAGATGAAAGTTGAGCCAGGGGACAGCATGTTGGATCCAGCACGGTGGTTATGTTAAAAAATGAATAATTCTTTCACTTGCTCTGTTTCTTTGACAGGTGTCATAGCACTGGCCTTGTCCTGTCCTTACTTGCGTGAAGCGTCTTTCAAAAGGTGCTGCGATATCACTGACAGCGGAGTTCTTGCTCTTGCGCTCCACTGCCAGTTCCTACAAATAGTGAACTTGGGCAGCTGCTCAGGCATCATGGATGCGTCTCTGCAGGCGCTGGGAGAAAACTGCAAATTTCTTCACAGTGTGGACTTTTCATCTACCCAGGTAACTATGGTGACAATTGGTTAATTGACTTCTGTTTCTTAAGAAGAAAGGAGAATTAAGAAGAATTTAAGATTGTCAGGGTGAAATTGGAAGGGGATCTTTTTACGTCTACTCTTGACAAGATTTAGGATAATGTTTTATTAGAATCTACCTAATATTGGAGATTTTTTTTTTCAGTATCTTTCTTTAGTGCAATCATTTTCTTCAAGTTGTAAAATAATCCAAAGTATTTCATTTCAAGAAAGTAGAATCTTGAACAGATTATTGTCCACTTTCAGTTAGGACAAACTGACCTGAATAATAATAATATAGGATGTTAAATAAAGCCCCTAGTAGAAGTAAACACTCTGTAACTATTTCTAGTTCAAGAGT